CATTTTAAAAAGTCTACATGAACGTGTGGCTTTGGGGACACCCTGCCTACGCTTCCTGTGTGGCAGATATTAGGGGGACGTTGAGCCGAAGCCACCTGTGGGTATTGCCATGCCTGCTGAGCACCAGAACACCTCATGAGTGTTACTCTTGCAACCATTGCCTTGTGACAAAGAGATTCTAGGATAGTCCAGACCAGAGCTGATTTTTAGCATCATCATTGTTCTCATTTCACAGACGACCAAATAGCCTCAAAGAGGCTAGGCCACTTGGCTGAGGTCCTGCGGCTGCGAAAAGGACAGAACTGGGCTGGAACCCAGCTTTGGGTGATGCCACAGTCCAGATGCTGCTCCTCAAACATCTCACAGGTGTCCCCACCTTATGTCCATCCAGGTTTCGAGTTCTTTGAGGCCAGCGCCAAGGAGAATGTCAACGTGAAGCAGGTCTTTGAGCGCCTGGTGGACGTCATCTGTGAGAAGATGAATGAGTCCCTGGAACCCAGTTCCAGCCAGGGCAGCAATGGGAAAGGCCCGGCCCTGGGGGATGCGCCACCCCCCCAGTCCAGTGGCTGCAGCTGCTAGAGATGACCCTCCACCCCTACCCGCCCCCTCCTACCTTGGCAGGGACTTTGACTGCGGCATGAGCCACAAAGGCTGTGTCTAAGCTCAGGGCGCCCCCCACCCCCACCCCAGTCAGCTGTCCCCGCCCTGCATGGCTCACCCCTTGCCGAGGCTGCCAGCCCGTCCGAGCAGCCCCTGGGACTCTGCATTGCAGGCAGCGCCTAAGGGTGTCCACGTGCACGAGCTTGCTGCTTTTCAAGGTGTTTCAGTGGGGTAGCCGTGGGCGGCACGTCTCACCCACATGGGTAGGGGGGCAGCTGCAGTGCCTTCTTGGTTAGAAACGTTTCCCAAGTCCATGCTGTGCTGAGCATCGAGTGGTGGCCACACACTGGCTGACGGGGTTCATCGTCTCCAACCTGCAGTTTAGTTCTGGGAGTCGATGAGGAAGGTGGTTGCTCAGTCTCTCAGAGCCTCCAGTCCCTTGGCCTGGTCCCTAAGCTTGCCCCGCCAACCTCCTCAGACGCCAAGGCTCTCGGGTGGGATGGTGATTCGGCCACCACAGACCTCTGCCCCTGGCCCGCAGCCCCTCTGCCTGAGAAAGCAGTGTTAAAGCAGCTTTTCCCGGTGGAGAAGGGGCAGGAGTCAGAGGCCCCCTCACTCCAGGAAGTGCCTTTCTGAGCTTCCTCAGAGTTCCACAGCACCCACGACCCTCTCACTGTTTCTGCTCCATTGTGTTCTCTGATCCTGTGCGTTGACTCACAAAACCACGGGCAATGTCAGGCCAGCAAAGAGCTGCCCAACTCCTCGCGCTCCTATGTGGGGCTTTTTGCCAGGAGTTGCCCTCAGCAAGGACACTGGGCCACCTGCCCAGACCTGCCTTCCTCCCCAGGTCACTCTTGGCTGGGCTGGTTTGAAGCAAGGTCTTTCCAAATCGTACATCCTCCTAGAAAAGGAAATTGAGCAATGTTCCGCAGCCTGTGCTTGCTGGCGACTTGGTGATGTAAAGACTTGGGCTTCTTCGACTGGAGGATCCTTGAAGACCCTGCGTCTGTTTCCTGTCATTGACAGGGCCCAGCAATGTGACATTTTGTGCTCATGGAAGAGTCCTGTCTAAGGGACATACTGGGGCTGGGCCAGAGGGGTGAGAAGGTAGTGTTTTATAACCTTGTACTTCATGGACACAGCTTGGGAGGGTCAAGGCCCTCCTACCGATGTGGGGTATGCTGTGAGTTTCCCTGGTTGAGATACTGTTTTGGGGAGTTTACAAAACTGGGGGCCCAGCTGTCAAGGGCTCCCAGTGGGAGGTTAGGTATAGTTTGGGGATATAAGCCTTAACTCCCAGCTCAGCAGCTCTTCCTGCCCACTGAAATCCAAACTTGGGCAGCATGGCACCTCTTTGCCCCGGAACACCAACTGACCCCCCTCAACATGACAAACACTGTGATGAAAGCCTTGTGTTTCCACCTCCCTGACGCCGGGTCGGAGGCAGTGGCCGTTCTCCCAGCCGTGGCAGCCAATATGGCTTCCTTCAGCTGGCGTCTTAAAAGAGCTCAAGCTGTCTCCTGGGTGGTGGGGAAGGCCTGGTTCAAGTTTTAATGTAGCTCTTGCCTTTATAGAAGAGTCCCTGGGTGGTACCAATGGCTAACGTGCTTGGCTGCTAACCAAAAGGTTGGAGGTTCAAGTCTACTGAGAGGAACCTCGGAAGAAAGTCCGGGCGATCTACTTATGAAAAATCAAACCATTGAACTCAAGCCATTGAAAACCCTGTGGAGCCCAGTTCAACTGTGACACGCATGGGGTTGCTATGAGTTGGAACTGACAGCAACTGGTTTAAGGGTTTTTGTTTTTTTTGCCTTTTTAGAGGCTCTGTTTGCTGCGGTTGAGTCAGCCCCTGACTCATGGTGACCCCATACACAGTGGAATGAAATACTGTCTGGTCCTGTGCCATCTGCATGATCAGCTGTGGATCAGACTGTTGTGATTTATAGGGTATTCATTAGCTGATTTTTGGAAATGGATTGCTAGGCCTTTCTTCCTAGTCTGAGGAAGGTCAGCATCACAGCATCATGAAAGCCTCCACTGACAGCTGGTTGTGGCTCTGCATGAAGTGCATGGGGTGGGAATCAAACCCAGGTCTCCCACACGGAAGAGGGAGAGGCTCTAGATCAATTATATTTCTAGGGAACCCCATTCACTCTCTACCAGGGACTGCCCTTGGAGCTTCAAAGTGAAGGCATCTGTACACGAATTAAATGACCTGGATAAAGGGGATAAACTCCTAGAAACCCACAAAATGAGGGTATCCGAATATCTAGGGCAGCAGTCACAGCTTTTCGTTGCTTTAACATTAAAGTCAAATTAATCAGCTACAAAAGATTTCTTAAGATGCAATGTGACCTGTCAAGATTCCATCTGCCAGTCCATTTTCCCTAAGCTGCTGCCAGAAAAAATGGTGGACCAGAGAACCTTTATCCAAGGGGCCACGTGTTGCCATACGTGTGATGAAAAGCAGTTTTGGCTGCATCTTGTACCTTGCCTGGCCTGAGATTGCTGTTTACACAAGACTTTTCAATAGTTCAGCTTCCAGTAATGACTGGGAGAGCTTCCTTGGCCCTCTCAAAGCTGGAAATGATGTAGCAAAAATTTTTGTTTCTTCTAAAAATAGTGCAAGTTTTTATTTTCTGGGAGGGAGGGAAGGAGGGGTGGGGAGTTCTTTGTAAATAAAGGAGGTTCTGAGGGCCTGAGACCGATGTCCTCGCAATCACTGGGGGGATGGAGGTTCACTGTGTTTACAGACAAAATGAAACCCCAAAGGCCACGTGACAAAAGCTGCCCAACTCTAGGGAGGATAAGGGCCAGGGTGGCTGCCTGGGTTTGGATCCTGCCCCGGTGCCTTCCCTTCCATTCACTTCATTCGCAGCTTGTCTTTCCACGGGTAGTTTCGGTGGGAAATGGCCACAGCCATGGCGGTTTGGGTTCTGCTTTTTTTTCTTTTTGGCTTCTCCAAGGATCAGGTTCTCGTATTTCTCCTCTCCCCTACTCCACATAGAAGTAGGTTCCAATAAGGTGAAATTGAGTTTTAATGTTAAAGCGATAATTTCAGCTTCTGTTTTCTCCTTGGCCAGTCCTGAAACACTACGGAATGAGCTCTGGGGCCTGGTAACTTATATCCTGTGTAAGCAATTTCTTCATGTCCAATTTGTAGAGACATGCACTTTCTCCACAAGAAAAAGAAAATTAAAGCCGTTATACCCAAGCGCGTCTGTTCTTCTACTTCCATTAGCGAAATGCAGTTTCCAGGAAGAGAGCAATCACAGCCAAGATGATGGTTGTTTGAGGACTGGGCGTGATGCAGCAGAACCCGAAGAGGCTCTGGCCTGGGGCTGCCTCATCGCCTTGGCTCTGGAGAGCTCCGTGTAGGGGTAGGGAGAGGTGAGAAGGTCTAACCTCCCCACGGGCCAGCAGGCACCTGTGAATACCTGAGTTAGATTTTGACTCTTCTCTGCTCAGAATCCTCTGTGGCTCCCTTCACCTGGGGTAAAAGCCCAAGTCCTCCCCTCAGCCCTCGAGGTCTTGCACTGTCTGACCCGTTACCTCCCCACCCTTGTCTCCTCCCACTTTCCCCTCACTTGCTCTGCTCCAGCCACCCTGGCCTCCTCATCACTATTTGAATACACCAGGACCTTGCCTCTGGGCCTTTGCACTGGCTGTTCCTGTGGCCTGGAATGCTTTTCCCCTCGGTGGCCAAGTGACACCTCCCTCACTTTCTCTTACAGGTCTTTGCTCACATCCCACCTTCTCATTGACCTCATTTAGTATTGCAACCCCACGCTCAGGCTGCAGTCCAGGCCAATCAGAAGGTCAGGAGATGGGGCCCAGGCTTGGGTACTGGGTTAAAATTCCCAGGTGATTCTAATGTATAGCCGGAGATGAGAACTAGTGATTTACAGGAAATAACAGAGGAGAGAGGAACAAGGTAAATGACACCACAGAGAAACTCATCCAGAATGTATGGCATTCCTCAGGGCATTTCACACTGTCTCTGCAACAAGTCAAGGTAGATGGAGGAAGAGGAGGAAGAACCTGGAGCAATGGTTCTCAAAGTGTGTTCCCCCAACCAGGAGATCATATCACCTGGGAACTTGTTAGGAATGCAGATTCCTGGGCCCCACTCCAGGTCTCTCTCATCAGAAGTTCTGGGGGGTGGGGCCCGGTCACTTGCGTTTTAACCAACCCTCCAGGGGATTCTAACAAAGGAGGGATCCAGTGTGAGTACTACTGGACTAGAATAAAAGGGACTCAAAGAGATACGGGAACCCTGGTGGCACAGTGCTTAACAGCTACGGCTGCTAATCAAAAGGTCAGCAGTTTGAATCCACCAGCTGCTCCCTGGAAATTCTATGGGGCAGTTCTACTCTGTCCTATAGGGTCGCTATGAGTTGGAATTGACTCAGCAGGAATGGTTTTGGTTTTGGTTTAAGAGATATGACAACCAGACATGGTGTGGACCTTGTTTGGATCCCGATTCAAAGAACTCAAATAAAAAACCACATTTCTGAGCCAAATGGGAAAATTTGGTGATGGCCCAGGTGTTAGGTGATGCTAAGGAATGGCTGTTAATTTTCTTATTGTGATAATGATGTTATGGCTACAAACACAAATATTATTATTATAAGAGATGTGTACTGAAGTATGAAAGCGGGGGAAATGACATACTGTCTGGGATTGGTTATAAAACATTTCCTCCAGGGAAAAAAGGGAAGAGATGGAACAAATATGTCAAAATCTTGGGTGATTGTTATATCTTGGTGATGAGCTTATGGGAGTTTCTTTGGATGGCTTCTCTCAACTTTTGTGAATGTTTTAGGTTTTACACAAAAAATTTTTTATAAAACAACAAAGTTGTGTGAGAAAAAAGGCGGTGCCATGACACGAAGGTGTTTGATTGGTATGAAAAGTAAAATTAAGGAGCAAAGAGTCAAGATGGACAGGGTTTCCCAAATCTTTTATTATCGGCTGCCCTTAGCGATGAGAGCCACAGAGAAATAAAAATGAGACCAAACTCTACAGCAGCCAGCTCAGACCAGCTGCCCTATGCTCCCCAGGTCTGCATGTCAGCCCAGCTTGGCGAACAGCAGCAAGGTGGTGAGAATTCCTGGCAGCTGAAACGGGAGAAGAAAGAAACATTGAACCTACTCTAGGCACCTCCAAACTAGGGTCACATCAGAGATCCAAGGAGGGGGAGTTGGACAGAGTATCCTGTTACAGAAAGACAAGCGGCAGGGTTTTAGAGATGGCTGAAAGTCCGTCAGGGCCAAGCCTGGAGCCACTTGGGTAGTCTTCAATCTCAGCAGTGGGTAGACGGTAGATGGTTTGTCATCAGTCATTGCACATCAGTCATTCTCCCTTTGCATCCCCCAGATCTTCCCTCTACCCCCTCTATCTTCCCCTGGGCCCTGCAGACTATATTTCTCAGACTACCCTGCCCTCTAGCTTCCTGTTAGGTTTGGCCAACGGGATGCACCAGCAGGAGATGGGAGGGTGGGAGGAGAGAAGGCTCAGAGTATTTCTTCCCCATTCCCTCCCTTCTGTCCACCCTGAGCCCACCATGACCACAGCTGTGGGCAGACTGCCCCTCGTCCTCAGTTCTTGCTCTTCCTATCCCCTTCCCAGATCCTTCAGGCGTAGGAGAAATGAAAGCTCGCTGTGTTGCTGGCCCCTGGGCACCTCAACATCTCTCCTTATTTCCCTTAATCCAGTCCATGCCTCTCCAAGTAGGTGCCTGAAAGCTTCTTCAATGGGCCATCTGGGGGGCAATTCTGTTTCCTGCTGGCATCCTGATTGTTATGATCTCCTTGGGGACGAGGGTGTTCTAAGAATTTGCTGCCAAATCCAAGGTCACAGATATTTACCCCTATGTTTTCTTCTAAGAGTTCTATAGTTTTAGCCCTTACATTTGATCTATGACCCATTTTGAGTTAATTTACATATATGGTGGGAGGTAGGGGTCCAACTTCATTCTTTCCCAGTTATCACAGTACTATTTGTTGAAAAGACTATTCTCTCCCCGTTGTATTGTCTTGGCACCCTTGTTGAAAATCAGTGAATGTACAGGTTATTTCTGGACTCTCAGTTATTTTCCATTGATCTCTATATATCTATCCTTATGCCAGTACCACACTGTCTTGATCACTATTGCTTTGTAGTAAGTTTTGAAATTGGAAATTCGAATTCTCCAACTTTGTTCTTTTTCAAGATTGTTTTTATTATCATAAACCAAAACCAAACCCATTGCTGTCTAGTCAATTCTGACTCATAGCGACACTGTAGGACAGAGTAGAACTGCCCCATAGGGTTTCCAAGGCTGTAAATCTTTACGGAAGCAGACTGCCACATCTTTCTCCTGTGGAGTGGCTGGTGGGTTCAAACCACTAACCTTTCGGTTAGCAGCTGGGCGCTTAACCATTGTGCCACCAGGGATCCTTCTTTATTATTATAGGTCCCTTGAATTTCTATATAAATTTTACAATCAGCTTGTCATTTTCTGCACTAAAAGCCACCTGGGATTTTGATAGGGATTGCAGTGAATCTCTAAACCTGTTGGGGACTACTTCCATTTCAACAATATTAAATCTTGTAATCCGTGACCATGAATGTCTCTCCATTTATTCAGGTCTCCTTTAATTTCTTTCAATAATGCTTTGTAGTTTTCAGTGTTCAAGTCTTGCACTTCTTTTGTTAAATTTATTCCCAAGTATTTTATTATTTTTGATGATATTGTAAATGGAATTGTTTGAATTTCATTTTCAGAATGTTAGTTGCTAGTGTATAGAAATACAATTGATTTTTGCATATTGATCTTATATCCTGCATCCTTGTTGAATTTGTTCATTAGTTCCAATAGTTTTTTTTCTGTGTGTGTGTGTGGATGTCTTAGGATTTTCTATATGCAAGACCATGTTATCTGTGAATAGAGATAGTTTTCCTCTCCCTTTCCAATCTGGATGCCTTTTATTTCTTTTTCTTGCCTACTTGCCCTGGCTAGAACCTCCAGTAAAATGTTAAATAGAAGTGGCGAGAGTGGATATTCTTGCCTTGTTCCTGATCTTATGGAGAAAGTATCCAGTCTTTCATCATTAAGCATGCTGTTAGCTGTGGATTTTTTCATATATGCCTTTTATCAGGTTGAAGAAGTTCCCTTCTATTCCTAGTTTGTTGAGTGTTTGTATCATGAAATGGTGTTGGGTTTTGTCAAATGCTTTTTCCATATCTATCGAGATGATCATGTCATTTTTGTCCTTTATTCTATTAATATGCTATCTTGCATTCCTGGAAGACATCCCACTTGGTCATGCTGTATAATCCTTTTTATATGTTGCTAGATTCAGTTTGCTAGCATTTTGTTTAGGATTTCTGCATCTATATTCATAGGAGATATTGATTTGCAATTTTCTTTTTGTGATGTCTTATGATGGCCTCATCATAGTTTCTGTTTTTCTATGAATTTTTCTATTTCACTTAGGTTAACTAATTTGTTGGCATACCATTGTTCACAAATTCCCTTTTAATCCTTTTTATCTCTGTAAGGTCAGTAGTGATGTTTCTTCTTTCATTTCTGATTTTAATAATTTGAAAATTTGATTATATGATGTGTCTAGGTGTGAATCTCTTTGAGTTTATCCTACTTGGATGTTCATTGAGCTTCTTTGATGTGTAAATTAATGTTTTTCATCAAATTTGGGAAGTTTGCAACCATTATTTATTCAAATATTCTTTGTGTTCTTTTTTCTCTCTCCTCTCCTTCTAGGACTCCCATTCTACATATGTTGGTATGCTATCAACCTGTAAGTCTCCAAGGCTCTGATAATCTTTCTTCATTCTTTTTTACTTCTGTTCCTCAATACCTGGACTTCCTCAGAGACAAGGTTCTACTGACTGTTTTCTACCCTGTGTGTGGGTCATACTTTCCTGTTCCTTTGCTTGTCTTGTAATTTTTTGTTGAAAACTAGACATTTTAAATAATATAATGTGGAAACTCTAGAAGTCAGATCCCCCCTCCCCACCTGTCAAGGTTTTTTGTTGTTGTTGCAGTTGCTGCTGTTTTTTTAGGGACTTTTCTGGACTATAAAGTCTGTATTCTTTGTTATGTGTGGCCGCTGAAGTCTCTGCTTGGTTAGCTTAGCGGTTGGGGTGAGAGTTTTTCTTTTTCCAAAAAGGAAATCCAGGTTTTCAAAAGCTGGGCAATATCCTCCCAATATTTATTGCTTCATTCATTCTATCCATCACAACCCATATTTCATTCTATTTTTGAAAGTTTGGATGGTGTAAAAATCAGGGCCAGTTTAATTGAAAAGGACTTCCGTTTACTGCCCTGATTTACTGGTTAGTTCTTTCCTCCCTGGGACTTATCTGGGCTGAACTCTGAGCAAAGATTCTCTCCTTAGACAGGGCTTGGGGAATAGTGTTTCCACAGTGAGTGATCTTCAGACATCTTTAGTGGTGCATAGAGAACTCATCAGCTAACAAATTGTTTTTTCAGCCTCTGTCTGTGATTCGTGCCTCAGGCAGGACTGCTATAAAGCTCATGCAACAACTTCCTGGAATCACTTCACACTTGTTGCAGGCAGGGCATATGTGTCCCTGATGATGTGACCTCATCAATGCTTCCCAACAAATACTGGGAAGCTCATTTTACAAAGGAGGGAGACTGAGGCCCTGGCCCTCAGTCAGGGAGCTAGTGAGGGACATAACAAGCACTGGAGTTCAGAGCCCCAGCACTTGCCTATCAGGCCTCCCGCCAGGTAAGTGCAGGCCAGGCTCATTAGCTGGGTGAAGAAGGCATATCCCTGGAGTCAGGCAGCTGTGTTTCTGGCCTGAATCAGGGCTGAGGCCCTTAGAACCCTCTTGCCTTCCTCCCTTTGTAGGTAGCCCATTAATGAGACCACCCTGTTTGAAATGGCCTCTCCTTACCTCTTCCCAGCTTTGTATTTCTCCTTAACACTTATCATTCTCTATCACATAATGTATTTTCCTTTCTTAAAAAAATTGTATTTCTTGTCTGTCTCTCCTGATTAAAATGTCAGCTTTATGAGAGCAGAAATTTGTGTCTGTTTTGCTAATTGCTGTGTCCCCAGTGCCTAGCACACAGTAGGTGCTCCATAAGGTTTGTGGAATGAAAAATAAATCTTAAAATCCTCCTATTGGCCTCTCCCCATACTCAGAATAAAAGCCAAACCTCTCACCGCAGTTCACAGGGTCCTACACAGTCTGCCCCCATCAGGACCCTGCCCTCTCCTCCCCCTATTACCCTCGTCACTCACTCTGTTCCAGCCACAGGGCTTCCTTGCTGATCCTTGAATAAGCCAAATTTATTCCTGCCTCGGGGCCTTTGTACCAGCTGATCTCTCTGCCTTCCCACATACACTCCCATGTCTCCTCCTTCACCTCCTCAGGTCACTGTACAAATGTCACCTCTTCAGGGAAGTCCTCCCTGATTCCCTTCCCTATCCTATCATCATGTTTTCTTCCTTATGATCATCATCTCCCCAACTAAAATGTCAGCTCCATCAAGGCAGGGGTTTGTATCTCTCTTGTTCACTTCTGCGTCTCCAGCACCCAGAACAGTGCCTGGCACACCGTAGGTGCTCAATAAAAGAGCTCGATGTGTCCCAGAGGGGGTGTGTCTTACCTGTATCGCCACTGCCCCCAGCGAACCCCCACTCAGGGTGAAGCTCTGAATCTTGGTTATTCTCATGAGCTTGAGGAAACAGCCCTGAAGATTCGAATTTCAAAACAGGCAGGTGCTGGTTAGGGGCTTGTAGACTCTGAGTCCCTGTCAACCCCCATCCCTCAGGCCATCCAGATACCTCTTGGATTCAGGGAGGAGAAGGGGACAAAGCCATGAGGGCCATGACTTCTCATTTGACTGCCCTTCTCCAGCATCTTCCGTGGCTTCCTCATCCCTCCCACCAACAAATATACCACTCACTCCCCTGTACCCATCTGTGCTGACATCCAAATGTGGTGGTTAAGAATATGGCCAGATGTCCCAGGTTATACTAGCTTTGTGACATTGGATAAGTCACTATATTTCTCTGTGCCTCAGTTTCCCTATCTGTAAAATGGGACCAACTGGACCTACCTCACAAGATTTTTGTGAGGATTAAAAGAAAGAATCTACATGAAGTGGCATGATACATAGCCAACATTCAGTAACTATTAGTTATTTCTGGATGCTCTTTATATATCAACAAAAGGGCTGACATGTATTCAGCACCTTCTCATTCCTTTACATGTATTTGCTCACTCATTTATCACTACAGTCCCATGAGATGGGTACTATTCTTTTCTCCATTTTACAGGTGAAGAAACTGAGGCTCAGAGAGATTAGGTGACAAGCCGCCCACAGACAGTGGGGCCTCTGCTCCCCTTCCTGATGTCACTCAGTTTCCTCCTCTTCTAAGCCCTTGGTGCCTCTTGCTTCTAAAATCTTGGGCTGCCTTGAGCTTGCTGTTGTTACTTTGTATAGTGGGTATTTATTAAGCATGTGCTGAGCACTGAACTGGGTGCTAGGAACCCAGCAGTGTACAAAACAGACCAAATCCCTGCCTGGTCGAGCAGGGAGCTGCTGTTTGAGTGGGGAAAACAGGAAAGCAAACACAGTAATAACAATGTCATTCCTGGTAAGTGCCAGAAAGACAAATGGAGCAGGATAAGGGGTTGGGCTGTGATGGTGGGGGAATTCTTTTATAGATGGGTGTCAGGTACAGCCTCCCCAAGGAAGTGATATTTGAGCACAGACTTGAAAGAGGTGAAGTGGCAAGCCATCTGGGGGAAGAGTGTTCCAGGCAGAGGGAACAACCTGTGCAAAGCCCCTGAGGAGAGCATGTGCCTGGTATGATGGAGCAGCAGCAAGGAGGCCAGAGAGGCTGAAATGGAGTGAATGAGGGGCAAGTGGGAGGAGAGGAGGTCAGGGAGGTGGCAGACAGGTTGGTCAGGGCCCAATAGGCCAATGTGCGGCCCCTTGTGCATCTGTGAGGTCCTGGCCAATCATCCACAGGGGACTGGCTCCCAGCAGGAACCATCTAGTATCTGTCAAACAGATGAATGAATGAACGACTCATATTTCTTCCCTCAGAGAAGATCTGTGTTTTCATTCACCAGCAGCGGTCATTAAGGAGGAGCTGGGGGCAGGGTTTGAAAACCAGCTCCACCGCTCCCTAGCTGTGGGACTTCTCCGTGCCTCAGTTTCCTTACCTGTAAAGTAGGGAGAAGAATAGTCTTCACCTCTGAGGTAAATACGTTGACACTTGTGAAACTCCTGGCACCAGGCCTGGCACCCAGTGTGTGCTTGGTCACGTGTGGCCGTTGCTATCGTTAGAATGATCATTTTCATGACTATCTCTGCCATTTTTAAGGAAACCCTGGTGGTGTAGTGGTTAAGAGCTACAGCTGCTAACCAAAAGGTCAGGAGTTCAAATCTACCAGGCGCCCCTTGGAAACCCTATGGGGCAGTTCTACTCTGTCCTATAGGGTTGCAATGAGTTGGAATCGACTCAACGGCGACAGGTTTTGTTTTGTTTTGTTTTTTAATTTGGTAGGGCAGGTGGAGCCCTGGTGGTGCAGTGGTTAAAAACTTGGCTGCTAACCAAAAGGTCGGCAGTTCGAACCCAACTGCTGTCGTTGAAAACTCTATAGGGCAGTTCTACTCTGTCCTATAGGGTTACTATGAGTTGGAATTGACTCAATGGCAAGGGGTTACGGGTTGGTAGGGCAGGCAGTGTGGCCAGCCTGGATTCAAATCCCAGCTCTGCCAAAGCCATGTGACCTTGAACCAGTCACGTCCTTTCCCTAAGCCTCAGTTTCCCTATCTGTAAAATGGGGATGGTAACACTAACTCCGCAAGACTGCGTTGTCAAAATGAGCTGAACACCCAACACGAGTTGATTTCTCTCTCTTCCAGCCCCCTTAGCTGGGCTCCCCACAGAAAAAGCAATTTTTATCAAGGTCACCAGCCGTCAGGGTCCGCTGAGGTGATGTACAACCAAGTCTCAAGTTACCTCCTGGTGGATGACATCTCTGGACTCGTTGCGCCCGTCACAGGCTGCGGTCCGGATGGATTTACAGCAGCTCCGGGGGTAGGTGTGGCCGCTTGTCATTTCAAAAGAGGAGCCAGAAAAATCTGTGTAATTATTCACCCCACAGCACCTTAGCTGGGAGAGGAGAAGAAACACTTACAGACTTCCATTCAAATAATAAAAATAATAGAAATCACGGTCACCATGACTACTGCTGAGTGATCTGTCACAACATTCCAGGCCCTGTGCTAAATTAGCCTCTCTATGCCATCTCATGGTGGCTCAGAACCCTCCATGCTCCCATCTCACTCCTCACCGTGGCCCGCAAGGCCCCAACACTCTGCTTCTGCCACCTCCCCGCCCTAATCTCTCCTCACGCTTCCCTGGACTCCCTGGGCTTCAGCTGCACTGGTCTCCTCAGCTTTTCTCAAACATACTTAACAAAAGCTGCAGCCTCAGAGCCTTTTTTATGCAGGCTCTTCCCTCTTTCTGGAATGTTCTTGCCTCAGATTTCTGTATGGCTCCCTCCCTCAATTCATTCAGATTTCTATTCAAATGTCCCTCTTCAGAAAGGCCTACCCTGGCCCCACTTTCTAAATTAGCCACAGCCCTTCTATCAGTCAGTCTGGGCTAAGGTATGCGGCAGTGACAAACAGCCCCTCAGTCTCAGTGGTTTATATCTCATTCACACTACATGCCCATCATGACTTGACAAGAGAACTCTGCTTATCCAAGTCACTCAGGGACCCATGCTGATGGAGCAGTCACCATCTAGAATGTTGCCATTGCTGTGACAAAGGAAAGAGAGCTCTGGAGGGTCTAGCACTGACACACATCCTTCTGCTCACAGCTCATTGGTCAGAATTCATCACATGACCCCCAACTAATAAGAAGGGGGCCAGTAAAGATCAACCCAAACCAAAAAAGAACCAAAGCTCGTTGCCAGTAAGTCGACTCTGACTCATAGTGGCCTATTGGTAAGAGTAGAACGGCCCATAGAGTTTCCAAGACTGTAATCCCTACAGAAGCAGACTGCTACGTCTTTCTCCTGCTGAGAGGCTGGTGGCTTTGAACCACTGACCTTCTGGTTAGCAGCTGACCACTTAACAACTGTGCCACCAGGGCTCCTTAATGTCATCCTCCTGTGTGGTAAAAATAGTTGACAAATAGTACTTTCGAGCATTTGTCTTTCTTCATAGCACGTATTAGCCCTGACAATAATGCTTAGTTACTGGTCTCTTGTCTATCTCCCCCACTCCAGTGTCAGAAACACAAGGGCAAGAATTTTGTTTTCGGCCCTGCTGACTCCCCAGCACCCTGCACAGTGCCTAGCATGTGGTAGGTGTTCAATAAATATTAGCTGAAGGACTGTGTGAATGAATGATTGGCGTGCTCTACCAGCTCAAGCTTGAGAAGCCAAACCCAGGATGAGGACAAGCATCGTAGCCCATCGTGTGCCTCCCAGGCCTGAGCACAATTCCACAGCAGATCCTGGGCCATGATTCTGATGCTAAACACACCCAGAAACGGGCAACAGCTCTGTCTCTTCCAAGCCCTCCCAGTCAACTGCCTACCCCACGGGCTGAGATGACAGTCTAGGTGGAGCGGCCCCTTAAACACCAGGATCAAGATGGAGTCTCACCTTCGCCATGGCAGAGTTCCATTCTGTGGAATAGTCATCTGGCTCGTTGTAACCCCTGTAATTCTTCCTCAGGGTCATGAGGATGTGCTCGAAGGCCATGTCTTGAACCTCAAAGAAGAACCAGGAAGCAATTCAATGACATCTCAATGACAAGGGTAACTCATTTTGCTGAGATTCCTGAGGGAGATCTGGGAAGCCCGGGCTTCCCTTCTGTTTCCGTCACTTTTCCTGCTGTTAGCCCATGGTCTCCACAAGAGGAGAACAAACTCAGGCCACCAGCGCCCCCGAGACAGGCGCAGGGACTTGAGCCAAGCACATCTGGTCGTTCCCATCACAAACGGTTTTGAATCATCTGCTCTTTTGAATCGCCCACATGCCTGCTATGCCCACGGTTTGGCTGTAACTTGATTAAGGAATTGAATATCATCTTTAGCAACTGACTCTCTCTGCACATAAAGGGCAAATTTAATTTCCTGTTTTTTAAATAAAGGGTTTTTTAAAAAAATTTTTTTTTCTGAAGAGGTAATATAGTCACATGGTTTGAAATTTTAAAAGCACAGAAGGCTAGACCATGAAAAGTCTCCCTCCCACCTTTTTCTTCCAGCCGAAAAGTTCCTCCCACTCCACGGCAGTGGCTGTTACCATTTCCTTTGCCCCAAAAGAGAGATTCTATGTGTGTCAAAGCAAAGCATATTTTCATTATTTTTCTCCTTGTCTTGTACTACTCTCATCGTTCTGCGGAGTCCCTGGGTGGTGCAGACAGTTAATGTACTCAGCTGCTACAGAAAGGTTGATGGTTCGAGTCCACCCAGAGGCGCCTAGGAAAAAAGGCCTGGCAATCTACTTCTGAAAAATCAGCCACTGAAAACCCTATGGAGCAGAGTTCTACTGATGTATATGGGAGTGCCATGAGTTAGAAGCAATTCAACAGCAACTGTTTTTTACATTGTTTGGCACTGTCTTAGTTATCTAGTGCTGCTATAACAGAAATACCACAAGTGGATGGCTTTAGTAAAGAGAAATTTATTCTCTCACAGCCTAGGAGGCTAGAAGTCCAAATTCAGGGCGTCAGCTCCAGGGAAATGCTTTCTCGCTCTATCGGCTCTGGGGGAAGGTCCTTGTCATCAATCTTCTGCTGGTCTAGGAGCTTCTCAGCTCAGGGACCCTGGGTCCAAAGGACATACCCCGTTCCTGGCTCTTCTTGCTTAATGGTGATGAGGTCCCTCTCCTCTCTACTCACTTCTCTCTTTTATATCTCAAAAGAGATTGACTCAAGATACAACCCAATCCTATAGATTGTGTCCTGCCTCATTAACATAACTGCTTCTAATCCTGCCTCTAATCCATCTTAGAGGTTAAGATTTAAAATGCATAGGAAAATTACATCAGATGATAAAATGGAGGACAACCACACAATACTGGGAATCATGGCCTAGCCAGGTTGACACATATTTTTGGGGGACACCATTCAATCCATAACAGGCACCTTGCGTTTCTCACTCAACACTAGTAGCAGATGGTGTTGGTGCCCTGTCTATTGGTGGCCCATTCCTGTGCACACTGGCCTGGCTTCCATCTGTCACCAACTGAGGGTTCTCTGTGGCCTGTGAGCCCACTTGCCCCCTAGGAGCAGCCCTCAGCTAAGGACTGCTGGGAGTTGGTGGATCAATACCCCAGCTCCATTGCCCCTCAGGTGAGATAACTGAGGTGCGTGTTCTGTGCTGCATCCCAGAGGTCCCCAGAGAGACTTGGCCCAGTGGCCCACAGTGTTTATTTCTTATTGGCTGCCTTCCCTTCCCTGCCTCACTCCCTCTGTCCCCTACAAGTGCCTCCTGGAATCACCTTCTAGATAAACCATGTGCCTTCGAATCCTGTCCCATGGCCTGCCTCCGTGGAAATGGGAACAAGGCCAGCGCTCCATCCTGGAGTCCTGTCCGTCTCATTCATGGAGAGCTGCCTCCTTCCTTGCTTCCACTGCGTGGCTGTGTTCTCATTTAACCAGTCCCTGTTGGTGCCTACTAGGCTGTTTCCAGTCTCTTGCTCTCACAAAACAGTGCTTCAAGGCACACCCTGGTGTGAATGTCATTCTGCATGTGCACAAGCACCTCCTTGGAGAGTTCCCAGAGATGGGATTATTGGGTCAAAGTGTCACTTCAGCAGACTTTTTTGCCCAGTAGCCCACCTTGAGGAGCATGTTTCAAAACAACGATGCTCACACGCTTTTCCCATTACTTTTCCTTCCACACCAAACGCAGGAGAAACCACTTGCCATCAAGGCGCTTTTGACTCATGGCGACCCCCAGTGTGTCAGAGTGGAACTGGGTCTGTGGGTTTTCAGTGGCTGAGAATTAGATCCCCAGGTCTTTCTTCCAAGATGCCTCTGGGTGGACTCAAACGCCAAACCTTCTGGTTAGCAGCCAAGCGAGTTAACCGTTTGCTCCACCCAGGGACTCAAAAGCAGGAGAGATGGTCTAAATTAACATGGCAGGTTTCCTGAGTCCTTCTGAAGGGAGTGCTGAGGTTTTCAGCTTTTCACCCATCTCTGGAGGCACCTCCCCCTCCAAAAGACCCCTGGGTCCCTGCATCATGGATCTCCATAAGTGGGAGTGGAGTAGAGTTGCCTCCCCGGGGGAGGAGCAGGTTCTATTTATTTCTAAAGCTGAATGGGAGCAACCACACTGTACTTACAATTGGGAAGAAAGCAAGGATCACTGTGGCGACTGTGATTTCCACAAGGACGATGACAACCAGGGACAGGAAACACTGGAAAACGCAGAGAGGTATGGGGACACAGGGTGTCTGGGTGTGGAAGAACTCACGCCTCAGGTGTTGGGTGGGCTGATAACTTGTATTTCTTGCAAGTGTCGCTTTCCTGAAGGTGGGGAGGTCGAGGGTGCTGGCGGGGGGGATATTCCTAGGAGTCACTAGCTGGGCCCCACTTCATGCCCTGCACCTACTGGGTGTCCGAGAGGCCTACAGGGGATCTCAGGGGAAGTAGAGGTGGTGTGTGTAGGGGGCAGGGGCCAAGGAAGAAGCAGGGAGGAGGAGCAGAGACAAGAAACACAGACACGCAAATGGGGGTGGTGACAAAGGGACTGAGGAGGAGATTTGAGGTTGGTGGGGGCCAGAGCCAAGAGATCAACATCTGCTGGCTTATTTGTCTGATAACTTCCACATGCACGGTGGAAAGCCATGGGAAATCTGGCAAGCAGAGGAAGGTCTTGAAGTTCCACATCACTGAGAAACCACTTCCCTCTCTGGGCCTCAGTTTCCCCATCTGTACAATGGGGGGACCACCACTCGTCTATCGGTTTGTTGCACTGTGGTGGCTTTTGTGTTGCTGGGACACTGGAAGCTATGCCACCAGTATTTCAAATACCAGCAGGGTCACCCATGATAGACAGGTCTCCGCAGACCTTCCAGACTAAGACAGACTAGGAAGAAGGACCTGGCAATCTACTTCCTAAAAAATTAGCCAGTGAAAAACTTACGGATAGCAGTGGAACATGGTTTGATATAATGCTGAAAGATGAGCCCCTCAGGTTGGAAGGCACTCAAAATACAACTACACAGTGGCTGCAACAGTGGGCTCAAATGTAACAATTGTGCGGATGGCACAGGACCGGGCGATGTTTCCTTCTGTTGTACACAGTGTCGCTGTGAGTTGAACTAGACTCAAGGGCACCTAACAACAACAACAATGGGGTGTGGGGCCAGCCCAGGTGGTCTCAGTGGGTTCTGTGGAGCCTCTTGAGACCACAAGGGGCAAAGCAAGTTCAGCTCTCCTCCCCCCTGTCGTCCATCCCTATCCATATAGCTCCTGTATTACTATTATTAAAATCTGTTTGATAATTTAGGCTTCTGCTGTTAAAAGAAATAAGCTCTGGGTCACCAGACTGGCCAAGGACTGAGTCTATCCCACTTTGACATGGAGTTCCCACACCTGGGTCCCCACAGCCTACTGGGGCAAACATCAGCTCAGAGCTTAGTAGTTGTGGGACCCCAGACAAGTGGCTCATGTATCAGATTATAAGCTGCCAGCAGGTCCTGTCGGCTCCAGCTTCAGATCCATCCTGAATCTACCCACTCCTCACCACCTCCACCACCACCTCCCCGGTCCAGCCCATCATCTCCCACCTGGACCAGTGCAGCCCCTCTGTCCCCATCCTGGCTCCTGTCCTGCCCATCCCTGCCCACAGACTGCCCTTGCCACAGGGGACAGACGGCTCCTGTGCACTCCTGAGTCAGGGCACGTCCCTCCTCTGCTCACAGCCCTCCACGGCTTTGCTTTTCTGAGTAAGGTCTTAAATGTCACTGAGGGACAGATACTGAGGGTAAAGCTGATGGAATCTGCCAATGGATTGAAGGTGGGGTGAGAAAGAGAGGAGTCTTGGATTACTCCAAGTTAAGGTATAGATAAAATAGTGTCTGCATCATTTCAAAGATGAAATGAAATTTTGCAGGCACAATAAATATTTTTTGAACTAATGAAGAAAGAAATTGATAGATGATGAGCTTGATGGAGAAGGAGGATGGGACAGGTGTGATTTTTATGGTCAGGATCTTCTATGATCTGGGAGATGACTAGCGTAAGGATCTCCCTGAATCCTTGAGAAAAATGGAGTTTTGTAGCAGTGGAGAAAGGAAAACAAAAGATGCTGGAGACAGTTTAAATCTGGGGCAGGGTAATCCACTGGAACAACAAGATTCTAAGGGGCCCACTTAATAGAGAAAGGGAAATGGGAATGAGGGAGCTGGGAGATGGACTTTGGGGAGATATTTAGCCATGACTGTATGTGAGCATGTGTATGAAAAAACAAATCCAAACTCATTGCTGTTGAGTCGATTCTGACTCATAGCGACCCTACAGAACAGAGTAGAACTGCCCCATAGGGTTTCCAAGGAGGACCTGGTGGATTCGTACTGGCGCCCTTTTGGTTAGCAGCCGAGCTCTTAACCACTGCGAGAATGTGTATAGGACCTTTAAAATCTGTGACGTGCTATCTGCATGATCATGCTGGAAATCTTCATACCCCACATATCTGAGACATTGTATGGTGATTACAACACTGCTGTATTAGTGAGTATGTAGTAAAGAACTTAACCTTGCCCAAAAAGAAGTCTGGCCTCTGCCCTCAGCTCCTGGAAGGTGGTCATCTTTCCACCTGTGGAATGTCATGCCAGATAAGAGTGTCTTTGTTTACCTGGGGGCTTTGGGCTACCCAGATAGTCTAACAGTGTGATTTATGGTAGGGGCTTTGGGCCACGCAGTAACACCTCAGCCTCCAGTGGGGCTCTAGACTGTGGTCAGCTACATAAGCATCTTCATGACCAAACCCCGATAAAACTCTGGCCACCAAGGCTCGGGTGACATTTCCTGGTTGGCAATACTCCATGCATATTGTTACACATTGTTACTAGGAAAGCTAGCAGTGTCCATGACTTCAGGAGGAGAGGACAACTGGGAGTGCCATGTGTGGAAAGTTCCTGGACTCTGCCCTGTGCACCTCTTCCCTTGGCTGATTTTAATCTGTATCCTTTCACTGTAATAAACCTTAACTGTGAGCATAACAGCTCTGCTGAGTTCAGTGAGCCCTTCTAGTGAAGGTGGTCTTGGGCACCGTTGAACTTAGACTTTGTGTCAGAAGGAAAGGTGGTCTTGTGGATTGTTCCCTATCTTTGCAGTGAGGAACAGACAAATGGGCCAATGGAACAGAGCAACACACCTAGAACAGACCCAAGCATAATGGAAACCAGTACAGACAGAGGAGGACCAGATGGGCCAATCAGTAAGTAAGACAATACAACACCCGACTGGGAAAAAAATCAAATTAGATCCCTGCCTCACACCACACACACAATTCATCTTCCAAAGGCTAAAGAGCTAAAAATGAGAAAGCAGGATTTAAAGTTATAGGAAGAAATCCTAGGACAATATATTTATGACCTTGGGTAGGGAAGGTGTTCCAAACAAGACACGTCATAAAGGAAAAGATAGATACATCTGATGCACTATAAGCAAAGTTAAGAATAGGGGAGAGTGGAAGGTGTTTGCACATTGGCAATGAAAGATTCATATGTGAGGGGGGAGTTTTGGGGTCTGTGTGCAGATGAAACTTACAAACAAAAGAATGCCTCTGTTTTCTTTAGTAGCTCCATACCACCCAGCAAAGCCAAGCAGCACCGTGATACACCCCATCGCCAAACACAGGTAGCCAATGTGAAGGAGGTATGCAGAGGACAACCCAAGGACCCTCGTCAGGGCGGACCCTCCATTGACCCAGGTGCCCAGGCCAATGAGGAGCACGCCGGACATCTAGGAACAGAAATTAGAAAGGAGAAATAGTCTGTTAGTTGCATACAAACAGAGCTCTCGAGGGGGAGGAGGATAGAACAAAGGCCAATAAAACCAGCACAAGTGCTTAAAAAATGATAATAACTGGACGGAGTTGGTGAAGATGTGGTAAAACATTCTCATAAACTGCTGATGGGCAACAATTATTTTTGTGTTGGGGGTAGTGGGAGCTTTGCAATTAATATTTAAAATCCTAAAGGTTTTACCTTTCAAAGTAAACCCTCTACTCAGAAATTCCATTTCTAGAGATTTATCCTAAAGAAAATAATCGTGGGTGTGCCTCAGTACCAGGATGCCCAAGGATGTTTGTTGTAGCATTGTTTAAAAGAACAAAACCTCAAAAATAACAGAAGCAACCAACACTACAGACTGGGTAGGTAAATCATGGCACATCTGGGCAATGGGATTCTAGGCAGTTATTTAAAATGATGCCATAGAACAGGCATGGGCAATTTTTTTCTGAAAAAACTCCAGATAGTAAATGTTGTTGGCTGTGAAGGCTGTAAGTTCTCTGTTGAAATTACTCAGCTCTGCCACTGTAGCTCCAAGGCAGCTATAGACCCTATGTAACAAGTGGGTGTGGCTGTGTTCCAATAACTCTCTATCTTTTATAAAAACAGACAAGGCTGTAGTTTGCTGATCCTTGTTGTAGGAGAATGTTTATTAAAACTTAATAAGTTTTAAATGCAGAACAGAATTTCAAATTCTCATGGAATCTAGATTTTCTGGAGCCATGGAGACTGGATGAACCCCCAAAGCTATTGCCCTCAGATAATCTTTAAATCTTAAACCAAAAATATCCCCCAAAGTCTTCTTAAAAACAAACAATAGTTTAGCTTAAATAATAAAGAATGTCTGCCTTGAGCATTGTACTCTTTTAAGATGTATCTATATGGGATCAAACTGACAACAGCAACTCAAAAGTTGAGATAGGAAACTTAGGGGGCAGTGAGTTTATATTAATGGGGGAGGAACAACTCAGAAAAGAGGGTGAGAACGGTTGCACAACTCAAAGAATGTAATCAATGTCATTGAATTGTACATGTATAAACTGTTGAATTAGTGTGTTTTGCTGTGTATATTCTCAACAACAGCAACAAAACACAACAAATTATTAAAAAACAAAAACAGTAAGTTTTAAAAAGTGAAGTGTAAAGCAATATCATCCCATGCTTTTTTTGCTTTTCTTTTTCCAGAAAAGTCTGGAAGGATATAATGATGATATTGAAGGTAATAAATTATAATAATATATAACATGTCATTTAAATTATTTATATAACAAAGCTATAACATAAGAAAATATTTATCAGATAATTAATAAAGTTAATCATATGAAACGTGGCAATGCCATGGCAGGCAGGCATAAGCCTCATTTAATGTCCCCATCAGAATGTTACAGCCAGGTGACAGGATTAGGAGTGATATTTCATTTCCTTCTCTTTCCTCGAAGCCTTTCCTTAGACCGTTAGAGAACGAAAGCAATTCCTTCTTTAACAATGCTCTTTCAAGTTCTTTTTACAGTAAGAAAAAGAAATGTTTTGAAAAATTTAACAGATCAAAATGAAAATGAAAGTGAACACCCCCTCCAGCCCTCCCCAAGCATCCTGTTTTCTGCAGGATTTGACTTTGAGCCAGGAGCCCCTGGATCCCGCTCGTCTGCGCTGTTTGACCGGCTCCGGGCCGCTGGAGTCTAAACCTGTTTCCAGCGTGTCCTCGGCAGTCTGCCCTACATCCTTCCTGCTGCCCTGGGGACCACAGATCTGGGAGGCCAAAGAATTTGGATCAACTTATTTCTGTCTTTGAGGGAACCAGTCGTGGAGGAAGGGCTGCGAAGCTGTGGGACCGAGGGTTGTGACATACTTACACCCACGAGGCCGTTGAGGAAAAATAATAGCTTCTTCAAGGAAGAATACGGAGTGTGCATTTCAGCCATGTTGACAAGACCGGGGTGCCCCGGAAGGCGTTTAAGTTAGCATCTTCTTAGAACTCTGGGCCACTGTTTCCCAAGATGGCAGAGGCCTGGGGCGGGGAGCGCTAAAGCTGACTTGCCCTGCCCCTCTCTTTCCTGGCTGCCTGACCCTCTGCCAGGGAGGGGGCCCAGCGGCTGCCACCCTTCAGTCATTAGCCTTTGTCACATCACAATCAGACGCTGGAGTAGGGCTCACTGGGCCAGTGAAGCAGGTGTCCCAAACTGCCCCTGGTCACGCTTCACCCTCCAAATAGGCCCCACCGGGTGAAGAGAAAAGGTATGATACATCACCCCCATCCCGGGAGCACCTAGATGCCACCAGGGCTCTGTGACATAGTGCTTAGTATGGTTGACGCCTCCCCCTAGGGCAGGGCCCTGGGCTGTCCTATTCACAGCTGTGTCCCCAGGGCCTGGCACACAGTAGGTGTTCAAGAAACTGGCGCAGAATGAATGAATGAAGAGTTTCCATGAACCAAATTGACAACAGCAACTCGAAAGGTTAGATAAGAAACCTAGAACCTGGGGCCAGTGAGTTTCTGTCAACGGCGAAGAAACAACTCGGAGAAGGAGGGTGAGAATGGTTGCGCAACTCAAAGACTGTGATCGGTATCGCTGAATTGTAGAAACTGTTGAATTGGTGTAGGTTCTGCTGTGTATATTCTTAACAACAACAAATAAAATGAATTAGTTCTAAAAATTACAAAAAAAAAAAGAAGATTCATGAAGCAGGAATCTAGCTACAAGCCATGGCCCCCCCAAGCCCCGCCCCACACATTAGCTCACTTGGCTCATCCTTCTCGCACGCCTCAGAGAGGCCAGGGGACCAGCTGAGGCCACACAGGAAGCCCACCCTAGGCTGGGCTTGAAGCCTCAGGAGTAACATGAGGGTGGGAACCTGTAAATCCCCCCTCGAGTGAGCCTGTCCTTGTCCCTCTGAGGCCTGCTCGGCCACAGCTGGTGAAGTGACTGTCCTTGAGGCCATGTATCATCAGCCTCTGGGCTTTTCCTGATGATGGCACAGGCCTAGCAAGAGTTTTGGGGCCAAAAAAAAAAAAAAAAAAAGGTGCGCAAGGCACTGAGGGCCCCCAGGCCCAGCTCCTGCAGCTGCTAACCCACCTTGCCCCTGCCTTCTCATAATGAGTCTACCCTACCACAGACCAGTCTCCCCTCCGTGCAGCCCTGGGCTGGGGTGGATCTGTGTCCATGTCCTGGAGTGCTCAAGGCTTTCAGAATCTGCCGTGACCTCAGGCCCCACTCAAGGGGAGAAAATAGCTCACATTTTAATTAATTGATTTAATGTTTGTCAAAGGTGTCCCTGGGTGGCACAAACGTTTAAGTGCTTGACTAATAGCCAAAGAGTTGCTGATTCGAACCCACCCAGAGGTGCCAGGAAGAAAGGACTGGCAATCTGCTTCCTTATGGAGTGCAGTTCTATTTTGCCCACATGGGGTCGACATGAGTTGGAGTCATGGGCCACTAACAACAGCAACGTTTGTCAAATACTCTGCTTCTTGGAACATGTAGAACCAGACAAGATGCTCCCAGAGGCCTATCTCCTACATGGACCACCACTGCGTTCACAGCCAAGAGTGTGTCCTTCCACATCCAGGGACGTCACTAAGGTTGGTGTCACCCAGTGTGGTAACTCATGGTATCACCCCCCTCATGCTAATTCCCACAATATTGTAGCTAAAACACACAAAAAAAGTTGACAAAACCAGTGACTATAAAAACACCGGCCGAATGAAAACAACAGCATGTGCTTCTATCAAGTGCAAATGAAACCACTTGATTCGAAACATCATTGTAATTGGGTAATGATGACAGCTCTGACCAGAGGGCATTAGAAGGTTCAAAAAATAAATTAACATAGAGTTTTAGCCTGGTCGGTATATTGATACATGTAAGCTGGGCTTACTAAAAATTTTGTTGTTATAACTAAGTACAGAGATATTTTTATTAAAAAAATAAATTTCTGCTGAAACACTGCACATTTTATAGACAGCCTTTTTGGTGTCACCTCCCTCTGACAGTGTCACCCGGTGCGGTCTGCACCCCTGCATCCTCTTAGTGACGCCACTGTCGACATCTTTCTCTAAAAGTCATTTGAAAGAAGGAGCCTCAGAGCAAGAGGCTGAGGGCCCGAAAATGGGGGTGAAAAAAGAAGGCGAGAAAATAGGGAGCGCAAAGGAGGGGGTAACACGGGGAGGGCAAAGGAGGGCTGGGAAAATGTGGTCACAGGGAAGGCAGGAAAAGGGGGAGCATAAAGGAGGACTGGAGGATGGAAACAGATGCCAAGGAAGGTCAGTCAATGGGTGAGAAGAAGGACGGGAAAGTGATGGCAGAAAGAAGGCAGAAAATTGAGGGGCAGAGCTGGACTGGAGTGTGCGGAGCCTCTGGTTGCAGGGGCGCAGCCCCAGGCGGGAAGTGGTGGGAAAGGAGGAGCCTGTGCGCCCTGCGGGACTGTGGCCCAGGTCCCTGCCTTGAGCGCCCCCCGGCGGCCATGGGCGCAAGTACGGCCCTATGAGCTAGACAGGTAAGAGGCAGTCGGGGGCTGGCTGGCCCGGAGGCTGCCCTGTGGGGCAGCTTACCGACTCCGGCATTTCCCCGCCAGACACATAGACATATCCGAATGTGCCCTCGTGCCCCAAAGTCACCGCTCAGCCCACCAGTGAGTAAATGAAGTTGGGACAAACACCCTCCAGCTGCCCCAACATACACTCACTGCATTGATGCGAAAAGACAGAATTGTGCAGGCATACAGTGAATTATAAACGTGAGACATTTGCTGAATGCAGGAAACAAGTGTAATCCATCAATAATTGTTCAAAGTCTCTAGAAAACATTGAAAAGCTTCCCTTAAAGTGGTGCTATAGAGCTATTAGCTATTTCAAAAACCAAAACCCGTTGCCATCGAGTCAATTCCAACTCATAGCCACCCTATAGGAATGAGCAGAACTGTCCCATAGAGTTTCCAAGGAGTGCATGGCAGATTCGAACTGCCAACCTTTTGGTTAGCAGCCGTAGCTCTTAACCACTACACTACCAAGGTTTCCATTAGGAGTGTCAGGGTAGTATAAGTGGTTAACACACTGGTCTACTAACCAAAAGGTACCTCTCAGGAAAGGCCTGGCAATCCACTTCAGAAAAATCAGCCATTAAAACCTATGGAGCACAGTTCTACTCTGACACATATGACATGAGTCAGAGTTGACTTCATGGCAACTAGTAACTGGTATCGAGCTATTAGGAGAACATTTAAATATCACTGTAGAAATAACAGAATAACCACTCAAATATTTCCTTAATAACAGAACTTAGGGTGTGTTGAGATAGTCGTAATTTATTTCTCCACCTGCTTTGCCTCCTTCCTTATATATCTAGAAGATCTTTTTAAAACGTATGATCTCCAAGAAAATGGAGTACATCAAGGTGTATTATGTGTGTATGTGTGTGTGTGTCTCTCTCTCTGTGTGAATGCACATATGCGTGTGTGCCAGGGGAAGAGCATGAGGGGGACCTACCTCCAGGATGACAGTGCCCAGAGTGATCGCATCAACAAGCTTGCCATTTTTCTGCATAAACTGCCCAAATTCACGGGTACAGCCATAGAATAGAATTTAAATATCAGCCATTGGCCTTCGCCATAGACAAGATCAGTTAGATTTTCTTAGAATCCAGATTTCTGGGTTCTAGCAACTGGCATGACCTATCTAGGCCATCAGCCCTTAGGTGTCTTTTTGAACCTTGAAGGAACTGGTTCCCTGGAACCACCTTCAGGTCAGACAGTAGCTTAGTAAGAAGCTTAGCGGAGAATTTGGCCTTAGGCATTGGGTTCTTTTGGAAAATTATCTACGTGCAGCTAGCTTCGAGAAGCAGGAACTCCAGGGTCTGACTAGAGGCTGTGTTTTAGGATGTATGGTATGTCTTTGGTGATTCTGTTTCTGTAATTGAGGGACACTGCTTCAATGTTATCATCTGAGAAATTAACGTAGCAATGACCTATATTACACGCTTTCACTGTCCCCTCTTTGGAGCACCTTCCCGATACTCAGGTTGAAGCTACCCAACTTGAATCGTATCTACTCACAATAAATATATTCTGTTACACTAATTTTTGGTGTTTCTCTAAGCATTTAGGTTTTTGACACCATAAAAGCAAAAACATTTTGGTCTCTCCCACTTACAGGTAGCGGCAGTTGCCTAATATAGAAAGATGGAGTTTGCCGGGAATCCTTGAGGGATGCGTACTGGCGGGTGTCTTAGTTATCTAGTGCTGCTATAACAGAAATATCACACGTGGGTGGCTTTAACAAACAGAAATTTATTTTCTCACAGTTTAGAAGGGTTGTTGTTGTTGTTAGGTGCCGTTATGTCGGTTCCGACTCAGAGCAACCCCACGCACAACAGAGCAAAATATTGCCCAGTACCATGCCATCCTCACAATTCTTGTTACGCTTGAGCCCATTGTTGCAGCTACTGTGTCAATCCATTTCGTTGAGTGTCTTCCTCTTTTTCGCTGACCCTCTAATTTACCAAACCTGATGTCCTTCTCCAGGGACTGGTCCCTCTTGGTAATATGTCCAAAGTACACTAGATGAAATCTCACCATCCTTGATTCTAAGAAGTATTCTAGCTGAACTTCTTTCAAGACAGATTTGTTCATTCTTCTGGCAGTATACGGTATACTCAGTACTCTTTGTCAACACCATAATTCAGTCTTCCTTATTCATTGTCCAGCCTTCATATGCGTATGAGGCAATTGAAAATACCATATCTTTGGTTTTTAACACTTGAAAGAGGTCTTTTGCAGCAGATTTGCCCAATGCAATACATCATTTAAGTTCTTGATTGCTGCTTCTATGGATGTGGATTGTGGATCCAAGTAAAATGAAATCTTTGACAATTTCAATCTTTTCTCTGTTTATCATGATGTTGCTTACTGGTCCAGTTGTGAGGATTTT